GCTGCTCAGCTCGGGCTGGACTCGAACCGCTGTTGCTCAGAGCTCAAACTCTTGAGTGAGCTCTTAACCAACTGAGCCACTTGGCCGGCCCCGTGTAGTTCTTTTTTGAAGCTAAAAAAAACAAAACTCGATGCTATAACCCTGAAAGCCAGGTACTGAGACCTCAGATCACAAGATGGCGGAGCCTCCAGTGACCCGTATCCCTGTGAGAGTATGTGGGGCAAAGACTGCCACCAACCTGCTTTGGATGTGTAGCATGAAGGCACAATAAATCTTTGTGGGGCTAAACCACAGATTTTTGAGGTTAATTTGTTACTGCAGCACAGCCTCACTTATCCAGACTAATACCAAGTACAGCTCATGTGGTGTTTTTGAGGTTCTGAAAAAGTTTTTTTTCTCATTGAAATTTCTCACATTTTCTTGTCTTACCTTTTTAACAAATCTAAGTGCTTATCCTATGCCAATATTAGTGACAGGGGTAGAGACATAATCCCTGAAAGAAAAATAACTCCAACAGCGGTAATGGTTTAATGGAGTTTTGCGTGTTGGTTAGCCTGTGGGGGCATGTAAATCCTGTGGTGGGGTAAATGGAGAATGACACAGATTTTAGTGAGATAGAGCTATGGGGAGTGATGTCTGGGGCAGGATACTTTTACATTGAAAACATGGCATTCCTGGTCATAATGGCCCTCTTTCCTTTTAATAGTTTCTATGTTACTCCTCTATATAAAATAGAAAAGAGCACTTATTTACTCACACTTAACCTGTGTCTTTAAAAAAAAAAAATCACCATTTTAAAAAACCTTCCCTTCTCTTTTCAACCCTTCTTGCTACTATTAAGGGCCCAGATATCTTGCCTTGTGACAACATAGAGAATTCCTTGGTTCTGTTTAGTTGCTGGTTAATGAAAGAAGTACCTCATTTCCCACCGTTTCCCATCATGCAGTATTTGTACCAGTCATACATCTTATATCTCTTGACTGAGTTTATGTTATTCCCCCTGCCCGAAATGATCTTCCCATTCCTAAGGGTCTACTTTTCCAAACCTCATCTGAAATGTTACTTTCTCTGGGAGGACTTCCCTGATTCCAACCCAGTGTTTCTCGTTCCTTCCCTCTTCTGTATCTCCAAATATATAAAAATAATTAAAAATCCAAGAGAGTTTGGGAAGGCAAACTCTTGTTCGATTTCATCTCGTCTGCCTAGAACCTGCTATATATTGGAAGTACTCAGAAAATGCTTGAAAAGACCCTCAAAGTTCCTGAGCTAACATCTAAGCACACTATAAACAGATCTATACAGGAGTTTGGTCAAGGGTCCCACTGCATTAAACTGCAAACATTTGTTTTTCTCTCTCCTTGTGAATTGCCTTCTTCCTCTTTGAAGTCCCAGACTTCCACCCTTTCTCCTTAGCTCTGGTTGCCATGTAAGCCTCAACTGCCTGGTTGTCTTTGGACCTCTTTTCTATGGAGCCCCTATACATATGAAATTAAACTTTATTTTCACCCATTAATCTATCTCATTCGAATTTAATTCTTAAGCCAGCTAGAAGAACCTGCAAGAGTAGAGGAAAACATTTTTTCCTACTAACAGTGGTCAAGAAAGATCTAAGAATACAGCACTTGAGCAGAGAGCAGAGTGAAATGAGGGAGCAGGCCATAGGAGTACTGGGGAGGCTCTTTCTAAGCAGAGGAAACAATACGTACTAAAGACCTAAGCTGGAAGTGCTTGACTTGTCCAAGGAGCTGCAGGGGAACCAATGAGTCTAAAGATCAGTGAGCAAGGAAGAAAGTGGTAGGTAGTGAGATCAGAGGCGTAGCCAGGGGTCAGATCCCTAAGGCCACAGTTATGACTTTAGATTTCACTTGAAATGTGATAAGAAGCCAAAGCGTCATGAGACAGAGGGAAATGATCTAGTTTGTATCTTAAAAGGATTGCTCTGCTGTGTGGAGAACAGGCTAAGAGGATGGGGGGCGGGACTTAAGAGTGGAGGAACATAGACCAGTTAGGAAGTTACAGTGGTGGTCCAAGCTAGAGATAATGAAAGTTTTGGCCTTGGCAACGGGGTGAATGGGGGTGAGACAGCATAGGATCTTGGGCCAGGGGTCAAAGGAATGCTGGAATGGACAGGAGCAATGCTGGGTAAATTGACCACAAGAATGCCACCACTCCATCACTCTCTACCCAAAAATGCAGGAGTAGCTGCTTATTATCTCCCTTCTAACCGGCTTACTTCCATACAGATGTTGAAACCACTATTCTGCATGCGCAGCTGATCAAGGTTTGACTGCTATACAACTTTGCTAGGGTGGCAATAATGAGCAGTCGGCCATCTTGCCCCACAGTGCAGGTGAGAACATGGTTATCAGGCAATGTAGCGGTAAAGGAAGCCCGTCTTTTTCAAAAAGCCCGCCGTTTTCAAAGCACCCACCTTTCCGTGCAAGCCTGTTTTGTCCTCAGCTTATAAAAGCAGCCAGGCAGAGCTGACCCGAGTCAGTACGGAGGACCTTCCATTCTTCTATACTGCCTCCCTTGTGCTCCAGCATAAGCTCAATAAAAATTTGTCTGGAATTTTTGCTGGGGTTTCCTCTCAACTTCTATCTTGGGGAACCCCAAGAACCCCAACACAGGTAACAGGGGCACTCTTTAATGAAAAGGGGAAACATTCAGGGAGGAGGAGGAAAGATGGGAATGGAAGAGATGGAAAGCAATAGTCTGGGACAAATCCACAGCGTGGTTTGAGAGACCTATTGCTATCCAAATGGAGATGCTGAGTATCTGGAGTTCAGGGGAGAAGTCAGGGCTAGAAATAAAAAAAATTAGGAATCAAATATAATAGATATTTAATACCATGTAAATTCATCAGGGCTAGCCACTAAAACAGAATCAACAGGATATACAAGTATATATGGAGCGAGATTTATTTTTTTTAATTGGCTCACAGTATTGTGGGGCTGGCAATTCCAGCAGTTATAAGGTTGCGGTAGGACTGACTCCGAAGGCAGTGTGGAGGTACCATTCCTTCCTCTTCCAAAGACCTCAGTCTTTCCTCTTAAGACCTTCAACTGATTGGATGAAGCCAACTCACATT